ATAGAGGATGGGACTGGACCTGTGATTTTATAGGGATAGGGGACTCTCAAAAAGGAAATCCCCCATCACCTCTACAATTTACATCATAATCGCTGGGGCACAGAGCTTGGTTAAGCAATTGGCCCAGGGTCACACAGCCAGTTTGTGGCAGAAATAGAACATGAATCTAGGTCTTTCTGAATCCAAGGCTGACTCACTGTACACTTAACCATGCTACCTCTGATGCATAGTAGGCACCTAATAAATGTTTGTTGAATTGGACTGAAGTGAAGAAGGTACAATTCTTTTTTGAACTGTCAGAGGTTGAGGATTCATTTGTGAACATTCCCCACTAGACTGTGAGCTCCAGTGTGGGCAGGGACTGTTTTCATTTTTTTTTGTATAGATATGCTTAGTATAGTGACTGGCACATAGTAGGTGCTTACTAAATGCTTATGGCATTGCAGGGCTTGTTGAGAATCTTCAAATAGCAGGTAGGTCACTTGCCCCTTTACAGCTGAATTGTATTTATCAACAGCATACAATGCAGTATTCATTCTTTCTGCCCAGTGTGGTTTGTACAATGGACACATAAGCTCTCAGCGAACAGACATAACTTTTTCCCTAACCTACCTCATAGGGCCACTGGGAGGGGAATGCTAAATAAACCCTAATGTTTCATACAAACGTGAGCTACTGTTGTTATTAGAGTCCTAGCATCCTGATTCAGAGCTGAAAAGGGACCACTATACAACTTGTTTTTGTTTAGTCATTCAGTGGTATCTGACTCTTTGTGACCCTGTGGACCATAGCACACCAATACTGTCTATGGGGTTTTCCTGGCAGAGATGCTGGAATCGTTTGCCATTTCCTTTCATTTCCTTTTCCAGTGGATTGATTTGCCTAGGGTCTCTGAGTTAGTAAATATCTGAGGCCAGATGTGAATTCAGGTCTTCCTGGTTCCAGGTCCAGCACTCTATCCACTACACCACCTAGCTGCCTGTAGGACTCATAAGGTAATGTCATAGAATTAGACTCAGTAGAGACTTTAGGAGCCATCAGGTCCATCCTCTTCCCATTTCGCAGATGAGGAATCAGGAGGCACAGAGAAGTTAAAAAGTTATCTCAGTGTCACACAGCTCGTAGCTGTCTGAGGCAGGGTTTGCCATAAGTCCTTTTGGCTTCAGGTTCAGTGCCTTAGCTTGCTTGTCATGCTGCCTAGATGACAATATGGTAATGTGGATTTGATCTGGTTGCAGGGTCCAATTCAAAAACGTAATCCAATAAAGATTTATTAAGTGCTTACTGTATCCAAGGTACTGTGCCAGGTACTGAGGATTCAGGAACAAAATGGAGGAAAAATCCTTGCTCAAAAGATTACATTCTATTGGAGAGATGTAACATGAATATAAATAAAAATGTGTATGAAATTTTGAGGTGGAAGGAGAGATCCCTGATAATTAAGGGAATTGGGAAAGGCTTCCTGCAAGAGGTGGGACTTGAATTGAACCCCAAAGGAAGCTAAGGAGTGTAAGATGTGGTAACAAAGAGTTAGTCCATTCTAGGCCTAGAGTTTAGCCTGAGCAAAGGTCTGGAGGTAAGAGATGGAATGTTGAGTTAGATGAGGAGTAAACCAGCTTGGTTGGGGTGCATGGAGCAGGCAATGTACCAAGAAAGGTAGATTGAAGTCAAATTGTGAAGGGCATTAAATGCCTTTTAAAAGAATAAGAGCTTGCATTTTATTGTGTAGGCAGTAGGAAACCATTGAAGGTTCTCAAGCAGGGAAGTTACATGGTCAGATTTGTGCTTTATTTTGGTAGCTCTGTGGAGGATGACTTGGAGAGGGGAGAGACTGATAGTTGGTAGTTCATTTGGGATCCTGTTATGATCATCCAGGTGATTGGTTGATTAGTTGTACCAGTTGTGTCCAACTCTTCATGTCCCCATTGATCATACTATAGTTGGGGTTTTCTTGGTAAAGATACTGGAATGGTTTGCCATTTCCTTCTCCAGTGGATTAAGGAAAACAGAAGTTGAGTGACTTGCCTAAAGTCACATAGCTAGTAAGTGTCTGAGGTCACATTTGAACTCAGGTCTTCCTGACTGCAGACCCAGTGCTCTATCCACTGTGTCATCTATCCAAGTGATAATCCACCCCAAAACAAGTGGAGGCCATGTGAGTGGAGAGAAGTGGCTATATTTGAGAGATGTTGTTGAGGTAGAAACAAGACTTAATCATGATTGAATAAGAGTGGGAGGGATAAGTGAGAAGGAAGAATAAAAGACAATTCTGTGAATGTGAATATGGGGGACTAGAGGGATGATGGTACCTTTAGCAGAAATAGAGAAGTAGGTTTTTCAGGGCAGGTGTAGATGAGTTCTGTTTTGCAAGTGATGAGCTTGAGATGCTAATGGAGGAACATCAGCTTGGAAGAAGGTCTCCATTGGAGTGCTCCAAGGATCCTTGATGTTTCAACAGCATATGACTTAAATAAAGGACCCCACCACTTATTTGAAACTACTTTTTATGACATCACCACTAAAAACCACCCATATTTTCTTTTATCGTTGTTCAGTCATTTCAGTCATGTGCTGTTGTTTGTGACCCTATTTGGGGTTTTATTGGCAAAGATACTAGAGTGGTTCACCATTTACTTCTCTAGCTCATTTTACAGATGAGGAACTGGGGCAAACATTGTTAAGTGACTTGCCCAGGGTCACACAGATAGTAAGTGCCTGAAGCCAGATTTGAACTCAGGAAGATGTATCTTCCTGACTCTAGGACAGGCACTCTATCCACTGCACCATCCAACTGTCCCTTGTAACTCCTTTCTATGTCCTTTAATGCTCAGCAACTTATTGGGTATGTTCTAGTCACATCAAGTCAACAAACTGTTATTAATCTGCCAGGCACTGGGCTAAGCTCTGAGTATTCCTTTAGAATGGGGATCTCTTTTGTGCATGGGTTGGACTAGATTACAGGATCATAGATTTAGAGTTGAGAGAGAACTTAAAGGTCACCAAATTCAATCCCTCCATTTTACATATAAAAATATTGTAAGTTTCTGAATCAGGATCTAAACTCGGGGCTTTCTGACTCCAAATCCTGTTCTCAATATATCATGTCATCCTTGGTTTGGATATCTCCAACTCTTGAATGCTGTGATTCTCTAATGAGGACCATGAAGTCAACTTCATGTTGGCTCACTCAGGAGAGTGACTGAATGTTTTCATTTGCCATCAGAGGAAATGAAGCAGGAGCAATTTGGTTAGATGGGATCCAGCATTCACTGGCCGAAAGGGGCTATGAAATACTGGAGAGTCTTCGGAAGTTGGAGAATTCCTTTCTATGGCCCTCTCTATAAAAGTAACTGGTCTTGCCTTCAAGATGGGGGATGGGTCAGGTGAGGCCTTGAACTTCTCTTTCCCACCCTACAACTGACTCACGTCTTTGTACCAAACATCTTGATGTGACAATATAGCTACCATGATGAAATTCAAGCCAAGAGGCCCCTGGCCTGCCTCTGTCACAAGTACTAGCTTTGCTTCATTTTGATGAATGTCATTGGATCATCATTGGCTTCCTTGAAAACCTGTCAAGACATGATTCCTGTGCCTAGATGTGGACAATGCCACATTTCGCTTCCTACTATGCACATTTCCCTAGGGAAAAGCAAGCTGGGTGAGAGGAGGCTCAACTTAGAATGACATTCTTCTCATCACCTGCCATAAGAACATAGATTGCTGGATCAAAAAATATACATGGAAATGGATTTATTGTCTAGGAAGAACAGGTAAAATAACTTTGTTTAACAAAAAGAAAGAGAGAGAGAAAAAAAGAATGAAAAATGAAAGAAAGGAAGAAAAAAGAAAGAAGAAAAAGAAGGAAGGAAGAAAGAGAGGAAGGAAGAAAGGAAGGAAAGAAAAAAGAGAAAAAAAAGAAAGAAAAATCCAAGGCCAGGAGGGGAGGTACGTTCCTCTAATTCCTGTTGTGGATCTCTTGAGCATGGGAGTTATGAGCTAGAGTGGGCTGTAGTTTCTATAAACTAACAATTAAAGTTACTCAGAGGTGGAGTTGGCTGAGCAGGGGCACCGTTCACTGAAGGTCTTCAGAGGGAGGTTGTATAATGAACTTCTTGTTGGTTCCTGGGACATACTGATGAATTCACTATCTTTTCTATCAGGGAATGTAAGTTGCCCAAACCTAAAGAGGGCAGGAGTCCTCTCAATGCTCCTCTTTCCTCTGAGGGTATGTACAAGGATTCCAGGGAATGTGGCTCTCTCTGAGATGGCAGCCTATACTGTTACATGTCTTAATTCTCAAAGCCAGACAAAATACACACAGAGACTGTCATTAGGCTTGGGTAATATGGAAGTCTTTATATGACTTCTCAGAAAAACACAATCTGGGGGTTCACACTGTTTCTACTATCTGGGGTAGGGGCAGCATTAGTTTAGGGCACTGAACAGGAGACAACAAGGCCTGGGCTTAAATCCTGACTTAGACACTTAATAATTGTGTGACTCTTGGCAATCTGTTCCTCAGTTTCCTCATCTGCAAAGGATGATGACTTCTAAGGCCCTTCCAATTCTATTTTTTTAGTTAATTAATTTTTGATTTTCAACATTCACTTCCATAAGATTTTAAGTTTTAAATTTTCTTCCCCTCCATGCCCCCCTCCCCAAGACAACATGCAATCTGATATAGGCTCTACATATGCATTCATATTAAACATTTTCACATTAGTCATGATGTAAAGAAGAATTAGAACCAATGGGAGGGACCAGGAGAAAGAAGAAACAAAACAAAACAACCAACAATAACAACAAAAAAAGAGCAAATAGTGTGCTTCGATCTGCATTCAGACTCCATAGTTCTTTCTCTGGATGTGGATAGCATTTTCCATCGTGAGTCTTTTGGACTTGTCTTAGATCCTTGTATTGTTGAGAAGAGCTAAGTTTATCAATATTAGTCATTGCACCATGTGGCTCTTACTGTGTGCAATGTCCTGGTTCTGTTCAAAAATATGAAATACTTCACAAATTTGTGTGTCATCCTTGCCCAGAGGCCATGCTAATCTTCTTTGTATCATTCCAATTTTAGTATACATGCTGTTGAAGCAAGCAACCAATTGTAAATCTATGATATTATAATCCCAGGCAACTTGTAGGTTACTGTTTATCTTCAGGTCAACAGGTTTATTAACAACCTGCTACGTTCCAGGAATGGGTTACAAAGGCCAAACCGCCACAAAAGTAACTCTTGTCTTCAAGAAGCTCATAGTCTACTGAATTGTGACACTATCCTACTCCTTCCCAGCTGCTTACAACAGACAGATGAGAGAATAATGCTGCTTTGTCATTGAGGAAAAGAGATTTCAAGAATAAATCTCGCCAGCCCCAAAGAGAAACTCTTTGCTATCTATTGCTCTTACTTAATGTGGCCACATGTCAAATGAGTCTTGTGACTAGAGGTCCTGATAGGCAGCTCTTGGGGCCTTCTGAGTTCTTCAAGAAAGAAATTCTGGGGGTGACAGGTTTGTCTTAGAAGACCTAACAGTCATTGCATAAGACAGACACTCCAGTCCCAAATAGCTGGTCTGGTCACCCTGTGTGGGTGGCCACAGGACTGTGAGCAGTGGGAAGGTCAGATAGAAATGATGGTGCTGTAAAGGACTCTGGGACAGGCACTAAGAGCTACCACTCTGACCCTCAGTTCAAGAGAATAAGTCACATCCATAAAAACCTTACCACTCTCAACGTTATTATTCTACTAGTGAAAAGGAGCTTATAATGAAAATGAAATGACTCTAATTCATTGTCATTATTATTCCATGCTCCTCCTCCCTGTTCACCCCCCCTTCAAAAAAAAAAGAGCTTTCTATTTTGACATGGCTGGAGTTAGCATTTGCATTTAAATGAAGCTGTCTGCAAAAAAGAGTAGGGAAGGAACTATATGCCCCCTGTGTCCTTCCCTGCAAAGTATGTAATTCCATCTCATTCTGCACATCTCCCATAATATCAACAGGGCTTGGCTCTCTGCTTCATTAGACAGTCAATCAGGAACAACTGTTCGAAATGCTCGAGGAGGACATTCTTGGGCTCAACATTTCTGCGATTTAAAAAGCAAAGACTTGGCGAGTGATTAGATGGCAAGACTTGGTCATTTGAGGTGAGCGATGTTTTGCTTTCAACAACTGAGCTAAGATGCCTACTAAAATGCAATTCTTCAAAGTCCTTAACTTCTCCCCTTTTTTTCACTTTTACCTTAAAAGAGCTCAAATGTCATGTAATTGTATGACAGAAAGAAAGACAGTCTGGGAACGTGACAAGTGGGAGGAATGACAGGTGCAAAGCCAAAAACCTCCACTGGTACGCTCTTGATAGTTTGATAAAATTGAGGAAAAATAGAGGAAAGAGCAATGGAGCCTCCATCCAGAGCTTGTGGGAGGACATAGACAAGAATCAAATAAAATGGACTGGCATGGATGAGTTTGCAATCTACTTTAGGGCAGCTAGGTGGAACAGTGGACAGAATGCGGGCCCTGGAGTCAGGAGGACCTGAGTTTAAATCCAACCTCAGATACTTACTAGCTGTGTGATCCTGGGCAAGCCACTTAACCCTACATGCCTCAATTTCCTCATCTGTAAAATGAGCTGGAGAAGGAAATGGCAAACCACTCCAGTATCTCTGCCAAGAAAACCCCAAATGGGGTCATGGAGAGTTAGACATGATTGAGAAAAGACTGAACAACAAGACCAACAAATTGTGGGAGAGAAGTCCTAATCAATGGTATCATGGAACCATTTGAATACTTGAGTAATTATATCAGAGCATATCCTATTGTATTTTATCTATTCTATCATGTATCATATCTTGGATTTAGAGTTTATTTAGGGATGGTACTTAGAAGTCATCTAATCCTACTCCTCCATTTTACTGATAAGGAAATTGAGGCCCAGAAAAGTGAAATGATTTGTGCAAGGTCACAGAGTTAGTAATGACACAGCTAGGATTTAGCACCACAGTCCTCTAACTCCCAATTCATCCCTTTTCATTTTATGTTACATGAGGGTGACTAGAAGTAAATGATGAATCCATAGCCAGTAGTTTGTGGATAGCTGCAGTAACCAAGCATGTCAATGCCTCCCTTCTGCAGAATATTGTTTCCACTTCTAGTTTTGTTAGGGAGGAAATGATGCTGAAATGATACTGACTAAGGAAAGCTTCAGAAGGCCTTAGACTAAGATCTACATCAGGGTACAATTAATAATAACAGCAACCAGCATTTATATTGTGTTTCATGGTTTACAAATATGATCTAGTTAGATCTTCATAACAACCCTGGGCAGCAGGAGCTATTATCATTACCATTTTACCAGTGAGGAAACTGAGGCAAACAGGGTTAAGTGACTTGCCCAGGGTCACATAGCAAGTAAGCATCTAAGGTCAGATTTGAACTCAGGTCTTCCTGACTCTAGGCCCTATGCTATATTCACTGTGCCAGCTAAGTGCCTGAGCTAAATCCACAGAGTGGAGAATTCAGAGTATGATTCCACTGTCAATAAGTTACCTATTTTCTCATACAGAGAATGATAATAACAGTTCAAATTTATATGATGTTTTAAAGTTTGTAAAGCACTCTGTGAGCATTATTTCATTTCACCCTGATACCAATCCTACCAGGTAGGTGCTATTATTAATCTTATTTTACAGAAGAGGAAACTGAGGCTGAGAAAGGAGAAATAACTTGCCCAGGGTGACTTGCCCAAGAAATGTCTGAACCTGGATTCATTCTTTGGTCTTCCTGACTCCAAGTAGTCCAGTATATTCTGCCAAATTTTCTCTCCAAGAGAATTTCTTGGGGAAATCATCCAAAGTTTGACAGGTTCCCCATAATTCAGATGACTAGCTTGGTGTGTGTGTTTGTGTGATACTTTCCCCAGCATCATACAGAAATAGAATAATAATAATGATTGTTGTTTTTCAGTCTTCATGACTCTACAGACCATACTGTCTATGGAGTTTTCTTGGCAAAGATATTAGAGTGGTTTGCCATTTCCTTCCCCATTGGCTCAAAGCAAGTTAAGTGACTCGCCCAGGGTCACATAGATAGTAAATGTCTAAGATTGGGTTTGAACTCAAGTCTTCATAACTCCAGGCCCAGTGCTCTATCAACTGAACCACCTTGCTGACATGTAACACTCTATACCCTGCTGCCTCTCAAATAAATGGTCTCTGGATCTCTGGATTAACCCAAATGATCCATGAAACAAGGGAATTCTGTTCTCACTTTAGGACTTTTGACATCCAACCTTTTTGGGTCTCAGTTTCTTTAGCTGTAAAATGAGGGGGTTGCATTGGATTATCTGCAATGTCCTTTTCATATTCAACACAACAATCTGTGATTCTAAGTTTAAGAAGCAAAAGCAAAAAATACATTTGTAGTGGGAATAACCACCCACTATCTTATCTGCTGTCCAGATTTTCATTTGCAGAAAGAGAGAAGGGAGGGGTCTTGGACATCATCTAGCCCAAGCCACTGATTTTACAGAAGAAGAAACTAAGGAAAAAAGAGGAGGATGAGGAACTGACTTGCCCAACTGACAAAGGGTTGAGTTAATAGCAGAGCCATAACTCAAGACTTCTGGGCTCCTTCCCCCATAACAGGTTTCCTCATGACAATTTTAAATGATTTCAGGCTTTATCAGGGCAACAGTGAAAATAGTGCTGATTTGTAGGCAGAGGAGTTGGGTTCAAATCTTGGTTCTTCCTTTTTCTATATTTATGACCTTGAGAAAGTCATTTCCCTTCTCTGGGCTTCAGATTCTTCATCTGTAAAATGAGGTCCTGTCCTATGAGTGTATATTTTTTTACTTGTAGGTGCTAGTGGATGATCCAGATGAATTTATAATATGCTTCTCTTGGCAAGTCAGGTAACCCCTTACTGCTCTGGACAACCCTCAATGACCATAACCCTAAATTTGTGCTAACAAAGACTGAAAATTCCCTCCTTCTCCCTCTCCCTTGACCAATACCCCAACACCCAAACACACAAGGAATCATAGTTGGAAGGTTAGAAATCATCAGTACCAAACTCTCATCTCACAGATGAAGAAAATGAAATGTGAAGAAAAGGAAGAGTTGGGACTAGAACCCAGGTACTTGACCTGTGCTCCAATGTCCTTATAGACTGGTTTTGCATCAATCAACAAGCATTTATTGAACACCTACTATGCACTCAATGGAGAGTCATATGGTAGATGGGAGCATACTTCAACAGCAGATCAACAAAGAATTTTGAAGGAGGCCTCCCATGCTAAGCATGTGATTCCATTTTATTTTGTGCCACTCTTGTAAGATCAATGGGGCTCTGCTCTCTGATCTATTAGACAGTCAATCAGCAGCCACTATTCCAAATACACAAGGAAGATGTTCTTGGGCTCATCATTTCTGAAATTGGAAAAAATAAAATCTTGGAGGCCAATAAACAGCTCTAGAGAGCTATGAGATGACAAAACCTGAATAGAGATGGGGAAGGAGGGTGTTCCAGGTGTGGGGAAGAAGGTACGAAGGTATACTAAAATAGGAAAGAAGAGCACAGGATCAGGAACAGCTAGAAAACCAGTTTGAATGTATTACAGAAATGTTTGAAAAGGATTAGTGGGACATGAGGCAGTCAAGGTGGGTGGGAGCTGGGTTATGGAGAGCACTGCGTAATATAATAAGAGCTTAAGAGGCATCAAAGCCTGAATGAGCAATCTCTGTGTTTGGGGCAGCATCAACCACGCCAAGGGCAAGCAGTAAGCAGCATAGTCATGCCCTCAAATCAGCTGTGCCCAGCTATTGCAGGGGATGTAGGTAGGCAGAGCTTGCCTGGGACAGGGCCAAAAATGAGAAGACACGGCCCATCTGGCAGCTTCCTATTTTAACTAATTCTTCTTCCTAATTAGGTGCCTAAGTCTATTTCTACTCTTTTGAAAATGCTTTTTATGTCCTTTATATTCAGGGCCTTGGCAAAGCCTTCATTGTCCAACTCTAGAACTGAGAGTAGGTAGGTGGTGTGGTGGACAGAGTGATGGGCTTGGAGTCAGGAAGACTTGAGTTCAAATTCAGCTGGAGA